ATCTATCTATGTTGTCCTGATTCAGTCACAAAACAAGAATATTGCATATATTATAAATAGTATTCACTATGAACACATCCAGATCCCTTTAAAAATTTTTGAACAAGACAAATTTTTGTTTTCTCTTGTTACGAAAATTTTCTTTGATTTGTTTTTGAAAATTATACAGTTTTTAAGATTTATATTGCCAACGTTTCATACTAAGCATCTTGGTTATCATCATGGCTAAAATATTTTTAACATCAGAGATATTAAAAATATATATTTAATTTTTATTAGTTAATAATGAAGAGAAGGATGTTTGGGGTGAACAGTCAGAAATAAAAAGGGCAAAATAAATAATAATATTTATTTTAACATTTGCCGACGTTTCGACCTGAAGTTCAGGCTACATCAGTTCTAAGGAAAGAACCACATAACAAGGTATGAGAAACATAAACAACGTAGGTAAAAAAAATCAAAGTAAAATGAAGTGGGTAGAATAATGACAATAACAAGAACTAAGAAATAAATAATAATAACCGTTACAAAGTGTGGAATAATGAAGTAAACATAATGAAATAGTAATGGATAGTTAATAATGATAAATTGTGATAGATAAGTAATAATAACTAATGTAGAATGAGGTGAATACATGATGAAATAGCCTAATGAAATACGTAATAAGCTATACAAACTATAAAATAATATACATGATATATTTAAAAGAAATTTAGTATTTAATATTACTAATCATGTTACCAGCACTGAAAATAGTAAATAGATAGTAAATAGATAGAACTGTGGCAAGGATGAATGTTTTGTCGAAATCAAATGTATGATTAAGGGAGAGAGAATGTTCGGATAATTTGGAGGCGGTTGAATTACTAGAGGATACAGAGTATTTATGTTGGGTGATGCGGTCTTTAAGAAGATTTTTAGTTTCACCAATATAGGATGAAAAACAATGGGGGGTAGAACATGGAATACGGTAAGCGGTGTGAGAGCGGAACAGGATCTTTTAAGGATGTGTATAATTTAGAGAGTGTGTTGTGAGATTTAAATACAAGACATAAGTTTGGGTTAGTAGATTGTAAAACTTTGTTGATGTTATCCGAAAGGTTAGGAATATACGGTAGAGATCTGTATATAGGGGCTGAAATGGGTTGTGGAGAATTAATGGAAGTCGAGATTAAGGAAGAGCGATTATTGTGGTCTGTTATAAGTTTGTTAATGACATGGAGAGGAAAATTATTGTTTGACAGGATCTGTTTTATACGTTGGATATTGGTAACATGAAATTGAGGATCAGAGAGGGAGAGACTACGGTGGATGAGACTACAATTCAGTTGTTCCCCGTTTTTATGGACTTCCTAAAATCCACAAACCCGGCACCCCACTCCATCTGATCACTTCCAACATTAATTTTCCTTCAGTTAAATTTAGCAAATTCTTACTACCTTCCTTACAAATTTTCAGCCACAACAACCCTTATGATGTACATAACTCATTCCCTCTTCGTGAACAGTTACTCTCCTTTACCATTCCCGACAATTTTATTCTTTGCTCCTTCGATGTTGAAAGTTTATTTACGAACATACCCATAGACAAGGCGCTTACTATAATAGACGAAAATTGGACTACCATTGAACCTAACACCTCACTTAACCGCTCCTCATACTCGAATCCCTTCAGCTATGCTGTAAATCAGGCTACCTTACTTTCCAAGGACAATTTTTTAACCAAATCTCCGGGCTAGCAATGGGTAACCCCCTCGCTCCCGACATCTCCAACATCGTTCTCAATGATCTTCAGACTCCATTATCCCTCTTTACCCAGACGATATTATCTTTATTCAAAAATACGTAGACGATCTCCTCCTAATCATCAATCCAAATAAAATTCCCGATATCCTATCTAATTTTAACTCTTACCACCCCCGTCTCAATTTTGCAGTACAACGCCAACTCAATAATTCTCTCCCTTTTCTAGACCTTCTAATCATTAAAAATCCCAACAACACCATATCCACAGACTGGTACACTAAACCAACTTACACTGGTAGACTTCTTAATTTCCACTCTAAACATCCCTACCACCAAAAAATTAACGTTGCTAAAAATCTCATCCACCGTAGTCTCTCCCTCTCTGATCCCCAATTTCATGTTACCAATATCCAACGTATAAAACAGATCCTGTCAAACAATAATTTTCCTCTCCATGTCATTAAAAAACTTATAACAGACCACAATAATTGCTCTTCCTTAATCTCGACTTCCATTAATTCTCCACAACCCATTTCAGCCCCTATATACAGATCTCTACCGTATATTCCTAACCTTTCGGACAACATCAACAAAGTTTTACGATCTACTAACCCAAAATTACGTCTTGTATTCAAATCTCACAACACACTCTCTAAATTATACAAATCCTTAAAAGATCCTGTTCCTCTCTCACACCGCTCTCATATCGTTTACCGTATTCCATGTTCTACCCCCCATTGTTTTTCATCCTATATTGGTGAAACTAAAAATCTCCTAAAAGACCGCATCACCCAACATAAATACTCTGTATCCTCTCGTTATTCAACCGCCTCCAAATTATCCGAACATTCTCTCTCCCTTAATCATATATTTGATTTCGACAAAACATCCATCCTTGCCACAGTTCTTAACCATGATAAACGACTCATTTCTGAAACCCTCCACATCCAGCTTCAACCAAAGACAGTAAATTTAAAAACGGACAAACAGAACTTATCTTTAGCCTATTCCCAAATTCTGAGTTTATTAAAACACCCATAGTTATCCTTTCCTTTTCGCTGACAACTTTATCTATCTATCTATCTATATATATATATATATATATATATATATATATATATATATATATATATATATATATATATATATATATTATATATATATATATATATATATATATATATATATATTATATATATATATATTTGTATGTATGTGTGTATATGTGTATATATATATGTGTGTGTGCGTGTGTATATATATGTGTATATATATATATATATATATATATATATATATATATATATATATATATATATATATATTTATTTATATGATCTGTATTAATTTCAATTTTTCTCCATTATTACTCAACAGTTATTTTCTTCGTTTTATTGCCTCTCCAGAAGTTCTATCAACTATTTAAATGTATTACAATTTTTTTTTTTTTTTTTTTTTTTTTTTTTTTTTTTTATTATAAATAAATAAATTATTTATTGAAATATATTACAATCTGTCTCAGGGACATTAATAATAGTGTTCACAGATCACATTCACACTATGTACAGTAAATAAAATAAATTATACAGAAAAATAATATATATACAATAAATAAGAATAAAATAACCTAAAAATAAATAAATAAAAAGAACAAATGCACACCTATATACAATATTTACAACTTGGCGAGAGAACTCCAAACCAGACTTGTCCCTCCAACTGTGGAGGGAAAAGTACAATTTTTAGTTATAATTTATAAATTATTTATTTATAATTTATTTATTATAAATTTATTTTATTTTAAACTATTTGATTGCCTCTTTCTATCAACTTTCGTTTTATCCCTTAATATTTATGAATAATATATCTCTCGTTCTTATTTACGCTTCCGATACGTTAGTTCAAACTTTGTCAGATAACCGTTGGAGATGACGCCACTATACACCTTTTATTCGCCTCCATCCTTCAATAACACGAGCATTGCATCTTTCACCTTAGAGCAGTCAGGTTGTTACCATTTTTCTCTTACTTATTCTCTTTCTTATTTCAACCTTCTCAGTTTCTCTCCTCCTTGCTTTTATTCCTTTTCTCTGTTTTAACTCTTTATTATTTCATACTTTGTCTGTACATATTGATAGACTTTACAACATCTTAATTTTCTATCTAAATATTCTATTCACTATATCTTAATTTTACTATTTATTTCCATTTCTTATATAACTTCATATTTTTCTGTTTTACATTTCATTCTAAGATTTCCTTTACAATACTTATGTCACCTTTTTTGACTATGTTTACTTCATCATTCCACACTTTGTACCTATTATTATTATTTGCCTCTTGTTCTTACTATTGTCATTATTCTAACAACTTCATTTTACTGTAATTTTTATATTTCCCATACCTTGTTATCTGGTTCTTTTCTTAGCCCTGATGATGGCCTGAACTTCTGGTCGAAACGTCGGCATATGTAAAAATAAATATTATCATTTATTTTTGCCTTCTTTTTTGACTGACCTCCCCAACTATTCTTCTTTTCATTATCCACGACAGTCAACCATTTACCAATTATGCATATAATAATAATTTCGATGAAATGTATAGTTTCGGAGTCATGTCAAACAAACTATAAAAGTTCAGAAATTTCGCTCCTTTTTGCATATTGCTCAAAATGCAATGGAAAATTTTGTTTAGGAACATCAAATTCAGAAAACATAAAAAACCTACTATTTAAACTTTTTTCCTCATCCAACTACCCTCCAACTGGCCTAATTTGATGACTTTGATGTCGTCAGTTTTCAAAATGCAACCGAGTACATTATTAGACAAGATGAATTCTCTTTGAGGACATATTCTTCACATCATATAAAAATTTCAGCCATATGTTCTTCCGTTAAATGAACTGTCAAATTCAGCCTCTTTAATTTAAATTTTCGTATAGAAAGCAAGGTTTTCAACCAACAAACCAAATTTGTGTATTCAGATGAGGTTTATCTGAATTTTAAAATGGTTACTGGCTTAAAGTCCTTCCGTTAAATGAAATGATCGGTTTTTAATCATTAATGATTAATTATTCAAGCACCCAACTAAACAGCCAGTTCATTGAAAGTCTTATGTACATATTCTGTTGTTCTTCTACCAAGTTAGCTTCGATTTAATAAAGATTATTCTAATAAACTTGTTTTGAGACATCTCCCTTCTGCTTCTTCTATTTTTAATATGTGAACAGTAATAATATTATCTGCAATTTCACAGGAGATTTCCTAAAAGAGTGTATGTATGTTTGCCTGACACAAGAACCAGGGCAGTACTTTTAAGGAGACTTCTTTCTCGGCAAGGTAATCCATTAAATGAAACAGAAATTGATACTGTTGCTCATTTAACTGAAGGATATTCTGGTAGTGATATAACAGCTCTCGCAAAAGATGCAGCTTTAGCACCTATCAGAGGTAATTTTACCTATAGTTTATAATTTTGTGTTTATTTTTATATATTACTTGATCATTTTTATTCATAGAATAATTATATTTAATGTAGATATGTATATATTTAAAATTATTCTATATTCTAATATTACATATTGGAGAAATGTCAAAGAAAACTTTTTTTCAATTTAAATTCTTATTTTATAAATGTTTGGGCCCTGAAAATGATGGACACATTTCTGTTACTATATATGTATATTTTTTTTTTTTCGATTGGCTCTACAGACCTTGTAGATCTTTGGCCGCCTGAACCAGCCTTCTCCACCTCTGCATATCTTGGGCTACTGCTTTGCAGTTTGCGGCATGAAGCTCAGCCGTATCTTGGTTTATCCTATCTATCCATCTGGTTTTTGGCCTCCCACGTGGTCTCTTGCCTACTACTCTGGCATTCACTGTCGTATAGAGGCGTCCTGATGGATTACTACAAGCTACTTGCCCTGCCCATTTTAACCTCAATGCCTTCATGTCATGAGATATTGACTGACTCGTTTCTTTCAGCAATTCTTTATTGTTCCTTCTCCTCCATGTGTCAAGGTTCTGGTCCCATATAGGTACTGTTATCCTACATAGAACTTTTCTTTCGAATCTCTCAATCCTGGCTTCTAATGTGCCGGTTAGAGCCCAGGTTTCACAACCATACAGCAGAACTGGCTTAATCACGGTGGTTTACACCCTTATTTTTAGATTTCTGAAGATTTTTCTGGATTTCAGTACCCTTAAAAGAGAGAAGAAAGATCTGTTCCCACTTGTTATTCACTGGTCTATCTCTGTTAGTTGATCATTTATTGATGTTATTGTGGAGCCGAGGTATTTGAATCTGTCTACTTTCCGGAATGACTTAGATTCCACACAGATTATGTTATTAGGGTGGATGTTTCGGCTAACTATCATGTATTTTGTTTTATCTACATTGACCTGTAGTCCGATTTGATGTGCTTCTTTTAACAGAGTCCGAACGAGTCTCTCAATATCCTCTTGATTACTTCTGAGGACAGCTATATCGTCCGCATATGCTAGGATTTTGTGTTTCATTCCAACGTGCACCCCTCCATCTTCGCGTGATGTTGTTCTTATTACTTTCTCTAGTGCTAAGTTGAGCAGCATCGGCGAGAGTCCATCTCCCTGCCTCAGACCCGTTCGAACTTCAAAGGCTTCAGATACTTCTCCTTGTATTAGTATCCTACATTTATGATCATTTGTACACGCCTTCGTCAACCTCACAAACTTCCCGGGAACACCCAGTCATGATCTTCCAGAGACAGTTTCTATCAACGGAGTCATAGGCTGCTTTGAAGTCGACAAATAATGCGTGTACGTCCTGATCTACTTCCCATTGTTTTTCGAGTACTTGTTTTAGGATAAATATCTGATCTAGCGTACTTCTTCCTTTCCTAAATCTTGTTTGATGGTCGCCTATTATGTTTTCATAATATGGATTTATCCGATTTAGTAGAATATTAGTCATTATTTTATAGGCAACCGGAAGAAGTGCTATGCCTCTGTAATTTCCACATTCGTACATGGAGCCTTTCTTAAGGATAGGACAGATCAACCCTGTGTTCCATGCTTCTGGTATCTGTTCCTTTTCCCATATCTTCTGGATTAGATCTTACAGCTTGGCTCTGAGGTCTTCTCTCCCATCCTTGAACAATTCTGATGGTAGGTTGTCTATCCCTGGAGCCTTTCTTCTTTTAAGCCTGCCTATAGCTATTTCCACATCCAGAATATCTGTTTTTTCAACCTCAAGTGGGTCGATGTCCTCAGTGTGGTCCATGTCTTCTTCGTTTGTGGGGTGCCCTTGATTAAGCAGCTGCTGGAAGTGTTCCTTCCATATGCTTAGCATCTTTTCTTTTGATGCTGTCAATTTACTATCTTTCCCTCGCATTATATATATAGTTATTTTTTTGTATATATTACTTATGATCTTGTGTGTGTATATATATATATATATATATATATAAGTTAAGTGTCGGCGGACTTTAACAATAAAAAAAAAGAAAGGAAAGGGGTTGAGATGCAACACTCACGGCTTCTGAATAGACACTGCTTTATTCATTCAGTAATCCTACTTATATACATTTCTTATGTTTATTTACATTCCAGGATGGCATTAAGGCTGATATCGCCAGTCTCCGGTCTTTATCTCCCCCCCACCAGTTTACGAATAGGATTTTCGGAAACTTAGATATTCCTAGATCGGAGCCAACGGTTATCAGCTTTAACACCTTACAATTGTTCTTATCAGTATACACTTGAAAGAAACTAAAACTCACTCCCACTCCGAGAAATAAAATAATAAAAAAAACACAGAAACTAAACACAACACTTGCTTCCAAGAACAGAACTCTTAATAACCTAAAAAAAAAATAATACAACTTCCTCTACTGTATTGCTATAATTCTATTTACACATAAAAAGAAATTACACCATATTTATGTTTTGACAGCCAAAAAAAAACATATTTCTTATATACAGCGGTGAGGGTACTACGAATCCGTTGGTCTATGTTCCGGTTCTATCATTGGGAGCTTCAATTGTTCAATGTGAACAGTTCTCCTCTTTCTAGGTTCATTAACGCTTTCAATAGTTAGCAGATTATGCTCCCTAATAGCAACCACTCTGAATGGACCCTCGTACCGTAACAATTGTTTCCCTCTGTTGGTTCCTACTCTACGGTACACTATTGTCCCGATCTTTAAGTCACCCATTTGGTCACGTACGTGAACATTTTGCCTCTCCACCCGCTTCTCCTTTTCCCGCTTAATTTTCCCCGTTACTTTTCCCCACGTCTTTTCTACCTCTACCCTATTGCTCTGGATTTGCTCGACTAATGGTTCGTTGGTCGTTGTTTCCCCGCAATCTCGCCTTGGCCTGCGCATCCCAAATAGTACTTCCACGGGCGAAAATCCTATGGTTTAGGCAGTGGTTATAGGCTGTTACCGCTTTCTTCATTGCAACATCCGGCTCCAACCCTTTTTCCCCCTGATACACCCGGATGTGGTCACTCAACGTGCTGTGCAACCGTTCAATGCCACCTCTACTTTTAGGATGTCCCGAGGTGTTATAATGCCAACGAATCTCTAGTCGTTTCACCTCCTCCCTAATCGCGGCATTGTCAAACTCCCTACCACCGTCCGATGTGATCCTCTCGGGGACCCCGTAGAACTGCACCCAGGTTTGTAGGGCTTCCGCAACTGCGTTGGCAGACTTGTCCATGACCTGGTGTGCCATAGCTACCTTGCTAAAGACGTCGATGACCGTGACCCACTTGAACCCTCTCCAGGTGAATGTATCAATCTGGAGGTCCTGTAGTGGCATATTCCCTGTAGGTGTCTCTTCCTGGACTCCTCTGGGGGGGTGTCGATCATATTTCGTGTGCATACACACCTCGCATTTCCCTATGATTTCTTGGATGGATCTTTTCATGCCCCACCAGAAATACTTTCGACGTAATGCCTGCAACGTCTGGTTCACGCCTCGGTGGTTGGTTTTCCCCTGGTGATAAGCCAATGTGACTGCCTGTTGTTGCTCCTCGTCCTGTATAGTTTCCACTGCATACTTGCAACGGATGAATGTTCTGTCCACGCCTATTCGCTCGGATCTCCACATCCGCTTTATTTTGTCCCATACCGTGTTATTCCCAACATATAGATGGTGCGTTTTTCCCGCTTCCGTGGCATCCTTCAGTGCCGTACGGATTTGCTCTTCACTCACCCCGGGTTGCGACCAGATGACGCGAATCCTACTTTTCCCATATCTTCGGTAATCTATTTTCATCATCCCTGTTGTTCTCGTTTTCCAGATTACCTGACGATGCTTGTCATTGATGATTTCGTCTATCTCCTCCATCTCCGCTGCTCTTTCCTCTGCTGAGCTCTCCTCTTCCGGGGACTCTTCCCTGTCCTCTATACCGACGGTATCATCTGCCCCTTCGCCATCGGGAGTCCACTCACTCAAGAATTGGCGCACGTCTCGCGATGATCCTCCCCCGTCCTCTTCTACCGCATTGATCATGATGGCCCTAGAGAGCCAGTCTGCCACCACATTTTCCTTTCCCGGCTTATACACCACCTCTATATTGTACTGACTAAGGAATTCTTTCCATCTCGTGACCCTAGCTGAGGTTTCCTTCAGTTTCTCTACCCACTGAAGCGGTTTTAATTGTTAATAATAAAATGTTTATTTGTTGTTTTTGGTAAAAAACTGAGGGATAATTGTCCCAGAATATATATTTTTTATATATTTAGCTTCATTTGCGATGCATTATCGCGTTTGTGTATACGCTCCAGCCCGCCAGTAATACCCTGTCTTAAGGATTAAGACACAAATTATTGCGATAACACTGCCGGAAGGTCAGTCTGGAGCGAGCTGCCGTTTGTGTTCGGTCCACGTATTGGACATTTACCCCCACCACTTCACCAGCTCCAGGCTCGTCTCACCTCATCTGCGCCACCTTAGCGCCATTTTGAAGATCCCCAGCTGTGCCATCATCGATCGAGATCGATAGTCGTATCGATTCTCCCACCATCGACTGCCTTGACATTAGTTGTACAAAGTAACCTCGTTGGAACCAGAACCTCCAATTTGGCTCCTTTTTTTTTTATTCTCTACTGTCAGGAAAGACATTAAATTTCTTTATTTTTTCCCAGGCTAAATTATTTTTTTTTTTAAGCTTTTCTAGACGTTAAATTGAACTTTATTTAATGTATTTTACTATTACTGATCTATAATTTTAGAAGTTGATTTTATGTATATTTTATTCCTAAAGTTTAATTTGTTTTTATTTTCTCGAAATATTGTATTTTATGTTTGATTTTATTTCAGTGCATTTTAATAATCTTTTTTCGTTTGTTTATTTTGAATTTTGTATATATCTTTTTCCACTATGATAAATTGTAAACATTCAAAAAGGGGGATTCTTTATTTCCCATTTTTTTGATTTATTGAATATTTCCATTTTATAA